CTTTAAAGGGCACCTATGATGCAAATTCACCTTTGGAAGCTGTTTAGACAGAAGTTCAATGTTGCTACATGGCTTTATAGATATCCATCTCTATATCTACATATATATATATATATATAAATGTGCATATATAAATTAAATATGTCATGTAATAAAATTATATATAAATACATAAAGAATACAAAACCAAAATATTTAAATATATATTTAGATCTACTTATACAGTTAAAACCAGAAGTTTACACACCCTCTAAGAAAAGGAGCATAACCATGTTTTTAAATGTCTGATGGTAAATCATACTAAACATTTAATATTTTAGGTCCATTAGGATTACCTAAATGATTTACATTTGCTAAATGACAGAATAATGAGAGAATTTTCATTCTTTCTTTCTTTTTTTTTTTTTTTTGAGAATTGTTTATTAATTTCTAGACAGTCAAAAGTTTACACACATTTCCTTGGTATTTTTTTAGCTTTGCTTTCAAACTGTATAACTTTGGTCAAATGTTTTGGGTCTCCTTCCACAAGCTTCTCACAATAGTTTGCAGGAATTTTGGCTCATTCCTCCTGACAGAATTGGTGTAACTGAGTCAGATTTGTTGGCTGTCTTGCTCGCACAAGCCTTTTCAACTCTGCCCACAAATTTTCTATAGGGTTGAGATCAGGGCTTTGTGATGGCCACTCCAAAACATTCACTCTGTTGTCCTTAAAGCACATTTGAACTGATTTGGCAGTATGCTTAGGGTCATGGTCTGTTTGGAAGACCCATTTGCAGCCAAGTTATAATTTCCTGGCTGATGTCTTGAGATGTTGCTTCAGTATTTCTACATAATGTTATTTCTTCATGATGCCATCTATGCTGTGAAGTGGACCAGTCCCTCCTGCAGCAAAACAGCCCCACAACATGATGCTGCCGCCCCCATACTTCACAGTTGGGATGGTGTTCCTAGGCTTGTCAGATTTCCCCTTTGTCCTCCAAATGTAACACTGCTCATTATGGCCAAACAGTTCAATCTTAGCTCCATCAGACCACAGCACATGCCTCCAAACAATAGTATTTTCCCAGTGTCATTTAGCTTATTGTAATCTTGCATTGTTGTTGATTCTAGCTTGTTGATTTTTCCATGTTGTCACACAAGGAAGCAGTGTGTTTAAGCTTTTACTTCAATATTATTCTACAGTTGTGGCTCACATTAACTCAAATGTGGTCAATCAGCCAATCAGAGCTTTTTCAGAGGCAGAATAATCTTATTGTATGTAAACTTTACTTAGCAGTGCTAAAGCTGTATATCAGCACTGGTGCGAGGATGGCAAGGCCGCAAGCCTCACATTTTAAGATTATAAGGCTGAACATGACATGAAATGCCATCCGTTTACAGACATTTCCCCCTACAGTCTGTTAGAGTCTACAGTATTTCTCTGTTGGCGTCGTAATTGTGACGGGTGCCAGGTGTCACGGGGTTTACCCGGAGACTTTAAGGAATAAAAAAAGGAGACAGAAACTATTTCGCTCTTCCTATTGGCCTTTATGCGTTTCTCTCAAGACACTCAAACATCCGTCACAAAATAAAATGCTACATTATTGAAATAAAGAATGATACAGCGGTAGAGCGACCATCACACACTTCCTAGAGCTCACCAGAACTGAACTGAGCTCCCATACATGCATGCTTACATCTCAAAAGTAAAACAAAAACAGAAGGAGGGGACATTTATACACAATGCATATCAAACATTAAGCGACCGTTACAATATTACAATAATTAACCTCGAAAAAAGCAGCGCAATCAATAATCTTACCTGACTGCTGTTGTGTTTGCGTTAAGGAGGGACGAGGCTTAATCCAGTTTCTTATTCGCAGCTTCTTATTGACTTTACCCGGTCCACCTTAAAACCGTGACGCTTCTGTTTTTCAGCTTCGCGCTCCCAGAAAACACAACAGTTTAAATCTAAGCAAGGGCTTTTTATGCGGTCCTGGCGCCATCTAGTTGATAGACAACGTTAACTGTCTTTGGTCTACTACACACTATGGCAGGCTAATGGCTAGGGGTGTCAAAATTAATCGTTTCTTCGGTGCACCGCGATGCAGACGAGGACAATTCAATATCGGTTCAGTAATAATCATAACCGGTTATTACTGATGTCATTTACCTTATATGCGCTCTGTCGTGAGGAAGGCGATCGCGAGTATTTACAACGCTCTAACTACTTAAAACTCATAAACTGTGCACAATTTCACTGTGTGTGTTTGCTGGATCAGTCTTTCACTGACATATACAACAATAGCCCCTATTTCACTGAGATCGAGAGAATGAAAGTACTCCATTTCTCTCTGTCTTTCTCTCGCTCTCTCTCTCTCTCTCTCTCTCTCTCTCTTACACACACACACACACACACACACACACACACACACACACACACACACACACACACACACACACACACACACACAGTGGCCCATTTGACCTGCTGGCGTGGCTTTTCTCCTCTCGGCTGTTTTACAGCGTTACTTCTGGATAAAGAAACGAGCGCATGTCTGCAGAGTTTTCTCCACCCTGTCTATCATACATCAGCTGTGAGATCACACAAGAGCCAATCGCAACCATTTTTGTTGAGGGTGTGACCAATCAAAGAGGTGTAAGAGAACTAGACAAGGATCAGAAAGTGAGCTGGATGTTTATATTTGTTTATATTATTTGCTAAATGCTCGTTTTGTTTAAAGTTACAGTTTATATATCTGACTGTTTGTATTAAATGACAAAATTGTATTAAAAATAATATATAAATATAAATATATTCATACATTTTAATACAAGAACTGCTGCTGTGAAGAAAATATAAAACTGTGTATGAAAAGCACCGTCAATGCACCGTGATGTACCAAAATATCGAACTGAACCCAATCGATGACATGATAATCGTAACCGAACCGTGAAACTAGTGTAGGTTCACACCTCTACTAATGGCCGCCGACGCGCTGTCTCTCAGAAATTGTAAATATTTTAAAATAGGCACTATTATTACAAATAAACTGCATAGTTGCAATCTAAACAACTGCATTCTCCACTAAAAAGCCTCAAAATTATATTATGTTGTCTAACAAATGTAATATTTGTCAAACTGGAGTGCCTCTGCTTGTTGCTAGCTGTGTGTGGGCAGAGTAATACACAATGAGTAAAAAGGCTGTATGGATGCTGATATTACTTAAATATTTTACCGCTATCAGCCAATCAGATTCGAGAACCAGAAAGAACTGTTGTGTGTGTATATATATATATATATATATATATATAGAGAGAGAGAGAGAGAGAGAGAGAGAGAGAGAGAGAGAGA